TGTAAATATGAAATATATAATTTTGATGATGATGCAGTTTGCGGTGGTTCGTGACGATAGGAGTGTGTGTGCTTGGAGGGGCCAGCTGTTTATGATGCGTTTACGACAGGCCAGGACACGCACAGGAGGCACTGCGCTAGATCGTTAATGGCGCCCAACGTGGGGTCCGCATGGAAATCGTAAAACTGACACTCTCTCGGTATTTCCCCCCCTTGATAGTGACGTGAAACAATAACAACAACACGAGACACGCAAAACAAACGAAAGTAAATAACAAGAGATTTTTTTTTTTGTATAAAGTTTTTTTCACGATTTTCTTTTCCTTTTTTTTTGGGCTCAGATTACACCAAAGTCGTGATTTTAGTTGTTGTTCTTTTGGTCAAAAAATAAATAAAGAAAAAGTGAATTTATTTTATATGCGTTCACTGCTCGTAAAAATCAATGAAAACATTTGTCAGGACAAGCTTTTCTGACTTGTCGTCGTCCCACCTTTAACGGGAACGGAACCAAGGGGAAGGTCCGGAAGTTATATTCCAATGAAATGCCAGCAAAAACTTTTCCAGAGCCAAGTTTCGTATGAAATTTGTAGCCAGTGGAACCGGAGAACCCGGAAAACTGGGAGAGCTGAAAAGGGAGGGAGGTAACTATAAAACTTGAAGTTTGAGTTTCTTTTGAAACTGTTTTCATTTCTTTATTTATTTCGCCCCGTCGTCCTGCGTCCTTCGTTCGTTCCAAAGGTGGAAAGGAATGTGTTTGATGCAAGCCAAGTTAATTGGATTAACACTGTAGCTATGTGTGTGTGTGTGTGTTGCGAAATTCGATTTATGGTCAAAATGATTTAATTGCCAAACATGCCCAAAAAAAGGAAAGCCAAGAAGAAGCTGTGTGGGGGTTTTCTCTGGCTTGCTTTTTGGTTTTTGGAGTTTTTTTCTTTTTTTTTTTTGGGTAATGGAAATGGAAGTTCAAAGCAAGTCCAAGGGGAAGTTGAAGAGGCAGAAAAGGAAAATGGATCCTGGGCGAGAAACTTTGTCACGCACTCAGAAACTCATTTCAAGTGCGAACTAGTTCGTTGAACCATCAGCAAAAGGACGACTTCCTTCCACAACTTTTCAGAGATTGAATTAGCTTACTACCAAAAGAGACAGAGAGAGAGAGAGACAGACAGAAACAGAGTCAAAGATAGAGACAGAGACAATAATTAAGGCAATAAAATCAATACTAGTTATTAAATTGCATAAACCATAGCTTTGATAGGCAGAAATTAAACTTTAATCTTACTTTTTGAAAAAAGAAATTTCATTTTTTAAGTGTAAAAAAACCAACAAGCATTTCTCATTTAGCTAAAGTGAAAAGTTGTCCTTACTAAAATTGCGCAATTAGAAATTGTTTTACCTGAAAGGAACCAAGGAGCCCAGCGGCTTCCATTACACCTTATTGTCTGTCCTGTGTGTAATTTGGTACCTGAACGAGAAACAACACTCATTTCATGTAATTAATTAAAGTGACCCCCGAGGAAAGGTCAACAACAAAGCCAAGAGCCAGAACAAAAAAAGGGGACAAAAGTCGGGGGCCACTTTGTGAATACTTCTGACACGGCTCAAGTGCATCAAAGTCGAAGGAGGACAGAGAGTCCCACAATTCGGTAATATGATCAACCGCCTTTTTTCGAGGACATAACACATTTTTCCACATTGCTGAAGCTAATAATTTGGTCAAGTCCAGGTACTAGGTACTATAGGTACTAGGGCTTCTTCTCCGTATGGAAATCGGAATCCCATCAAATGTAAGCGTGGTTCAGGTTCCCATTTCTCTCTCTCCAAAATAAAATTAGCTCAATGAGCATTTGTGCAATCAAGTGATTTTTAAACAAGGCAAAAGGGTTGTCCGTGATATATATATATATTTTTGTATATATATATGTATATATGCCACGGATATGCGGATACGGATATGGAAACCAACCCAAACCCATACCCAACCCAACCCCTTTGGGGACCATGGGCTGTGGCAAATAAATTTCACACATATTTGCACACTCAATACATGTGTGTGTTCAATAATTTTTTTTTTCTTTTTCTTTATATTTATTTTAACCCCCCCTACAAGGTCGGTTGATTGTACTGGAAATAAGGGGGAAGCAGAGGGAAGGCCGATAAATAGAAGAGTTGAGCTTTACAGTAGATTTTAAAAATATAAAAAATAAAGGTTAGGGAATTTAAGTTAGGAAAAATTTAAGAAATTATTAATATTTTTAAAATGTAGTAAAAATTCTTTATATTTTCAAAATATATTTTATCTAAGTATTTTTCAAAGCTTTAGATATATATTTAAGGAAAATATTTAAAATATATCTATTTATTTATTAAATATTTATTAAATATTTTTTTATTATTTATTTAACATTTTTTTAATATATATTTGTTTTATATTTATATAATATTTATTAAATATTTATTTATTTTTTGTTTAATATTTATTTAATATTTCAATTTATTTAATAATTATTTAATATTTATTAACTATTTATTTAATATTTATTTAATACGTATTTAATATTTCTTTATAATTCTTTTATAAAAATATTTATTGAGCATTTTTTTTTAAATATTTTTTAATATTTTTAAATATTTATTTATTTTTTATCTAGAATTTATTTATTATTTATTTAAATTAATTTAATATTTATTTAATATTAACCTAATATTTATTTAATATTAACCTAATATTTATTTAATATTTGTTTAATATTTATTTAATATTTTTTTTATTATTTCTCTAACATTTATTTAATATTTATTTAACAAAGTATTATTAGCACCACAGCTGTGTGCTATTACCGAGTTGTATGTCTTTCCGGGAGTGGGTTTATCTGTGGGTAAACACAAGAACCCCTAACCAGGGTCTCAGGCATGACTCATGGGACGGGAAGAAAGGGTTGCCTCTCGAGTCTCAGCTGCGGGTCTCTGCTGACATACGAACCCAAAAAAAAAGTACATAAAAAAGTACAAAAAAAGTAAAAAAAAAAATGAGAGGCCTTTGCATGTAGGACTTCAGTTTCGTGGCGGTTTCTTTGACGATTAATTTGGTACACAGATCATTGATTAACAATTGGCCCTTGATTGGGGGTTGCAAAAAGGCAAAGAAATATATTTAAGGGAAACAAGGGTAAACCCTATCAAATACCATAAATTAACTCAAATTAGCTGCCACAATTTCTCTAATTTTACTGCATTTTAAAGCTATTTCTTAAGCTTAAAGAAAAAATATGAAAAATAAGTATGGGGAATCCTTGCAGAACCTGCAAAAGGTGACTTTAAAATATTTCAAGCTGTCACGAGCGGGAAAAAAAACCCTCAACTGGCAACATTCCGTCGCTCGTCATTTTTATCAGCATCATCCTCATCATGGCGATGATCATTATCGTCATTTGCACAGGTTACACTCGACTTCTTAGGAGCTTATACCTTTTCTTTTTACATTTTTGTCAATTTTCCGGGAACTCGAGTCATTTGCGTAAGTGTGTGTGTGTGTGTGTGGGGTGGGGGAAAAACCTCTTGAGAGGGAGGAAAATTCAGCCACAGTAGCCGCCGCGACACGATTTCCTTTTGCCCTCAACCTCCAACCTCAACACATCCTTATTTATTTCTATTTTTATGTTCCAACAAAATAGAAGCTGGAAAAAATACATAAAAAAAAAAATGGCAAGCGCTTATTCTTGCTGCGCATTTTCACTCCTTTTTTTTTGTCGTACCGTTTTCCTGCTTTTCCCAGGATTCTCTTCCTGGCTTGCCTCCTTTGACATTCATTCGCATTCCTCCCAATTGTGTTATAAATTCAAAAATGAATAACGCACGTTTGCCTGTGGCTGGAAATTCTATTTTATTTGTGGAAAATGCTTTCACTCTTTTCTTTTTTTTATACTAGTACTTGGGTTTCCCTCTGGCTCGTTCTCGGGCTCAATTAAAACATTTTCGCAATGACATTTGTGGGGCTTGACTTGGCTTCGAGGCCGGACTTTTGTGACCAACCGCTTCTCCATTGAGGTTTATATATATTTTTTCCCTTATATTATTTCTTTTCTTTTTTCTTATATTGCTTTCTTTTTTTAAATAGGCTTAGCCTTTCTCCTAGTTCCTTTTTTATTTATTACAAAGCGAGCAATTTATTTAATGTAGGAAACTCTTTTAGGCTGAAAAAGAAACAACTTTCGCTAAGAAAAATAGGTATAGATATCTCAATGGTTTTAAAAATGGTTTCAAATTACAAAAAATTAATTTTCTAAATATATTTTTAACCCCTGAAACCAATAAATGTATACAAAAACTATTAAAAGGTAACTTCACCCTCAATATAAGCCCCAAATAAAACAAGTAGAACTTCAACTAGCCACAATTATCCCTGGCTTCTGCGAGGAAAATCTCAATCAAAGTATCCTATCTCTCCTCTTATTTTGGCCAAAAAGTTTCCAAAAACTGCACAGAATCCATAGACAAACGGCATCAGAATTTAATTCAATTGCAAATCCCATATCATCCCCACAAAGTTAAGAGAAACATTCAATTATGAATTCTGAGAAAAGCTAAAAACAAAAAAAAAATTCCAGAAAATACAGAAAACAAGAAAAACACACACAAGCACTGGCAAGGAAAAGCGAAAAACTACAGAAAACTGTTTTATTTATCCAACATTTGACTTTGAAATGATGAAAATGCTAAAGCAAAATGCTTGGGAAAATCCAGGGGCGGGGAAAATTTCATTTGCTCTGACATTGTAAGTCACATTTGATGTAGCTGCTTTTACCCGACTGATGTCGATTCCTTTAGCGAAGCTTTTCCATCATTGATGGAGTTTTCTCTTTAATTTTTTTTGGGGGATTTTCCCTCTCGTTTCCGCTTTCTTTGTGTGTGCTGCACAGTTTGTTTGAAAAGTATACTTTGCTTGCTAATTAAATTTCATCAGGATTCTAATATTTGTGTCTTTTATTGTTTATTTTTTTGCAGAGCTTGCCGGAGGAGTTGAAAAGCTTAATTGGAAAATATCTACAAAAATTAAGGTAAGTGGGGAGAAAATTTTAGGAGAGATAAAAATAAAATTTATAATTTATTTAACTAAATTATTTGAATTATTTGAAATTTTAAATATTTATTTAAGGTAAAAGTAATCTACTAATTTATTAAACCCCCCTTGAGTTGTATACTACGCCCCTTTTTGTTATATTTTTTGTATCTTTTGGGTAACAGTCTCTTTTTTTTTATCCAGCAGAACCTTTTTTTTTCCATCGGTTGATACTAAACTTATTGGAATTTCGAAAATGATAGCGTTGACATGAAAGTTTGGGTCCCCCCCTACTACACTCAGCCCTGCCCCCACCCCTGTCATCACCCAGACTCTGCTTTTTTTCACTTTTATTGTGTTTTATGTCGCAACACACACAAAAGTCAACCCAGAATCGGCTTAACGCACAATCAGAAAGGAAATTTGAAGAGCAACAATCCGAGAGATGCGTATCTTGTGGTCCCCCCCCTCAAAATAATCCCCATTCTACCCCCTCTCCGCCCATGTGTGTGTGTGTTTGTGTGTGTCTCTTCATCAGCATTTTCAGCTCAATATTTCAGATATGCATCTCATCTTCTCTGGGTTTTATTGTCATTTTAAGAGGTTTTTCTTTCTCTTTTTCCCCAAAAAAAAAGAAGAAAGAAGAAAGATACAAAATGCAGCTGGGCCGTAGAGCGTTTTGTTTATGATTTGTCCAAGAAATTAGGGCCAAAAAATGTGTTTTAAATTGTGATAAGAGAAGCATTTTTAATCTTAAAAAAAAAACAACTAAAAGAGGCTATTTTTGATTTTATAAAATAATTTATAATAATAATTGATATTTTAAACTGAGATTTTTATTTAAATTCCGATACCAAAATTTGTTTTCCTCTTAAAAAAACTGGTATTTATTTTAAAAAATATTCAAATGTTGCTCTGTTCTCCAAAGTATTTATATTTATTAGAAAAAAAGTTATTCTCTTATTTTTTCCAAGTGTAGTGGCTGCAGTGGAAGGGTTTTTCCTGGGCAAACTGTAAATGAAGCCTCTTCTCTAGTGCTAATAAATTCACCTTTTACCACAAAATATTGGCCAACATTTGCAAAAGACAAACAGCTTCCCTCCCCTTGGTCCCAGTCATATTCTGCCCCTGTCCCTGCCCCTGCCCTGTACCAACATAAATCTCCTTAACAATCTGCCTGCCTCCCTCCATCCCTAGAATTTTCCTTGTGCTCTCGTGCTCATCTTTCGGCTCCTGTTTTCCCCCTCGACTGTTGATTTTTGTCAACCTAATACAAAAGGCAAACAAAATTTGTGTTGGCATTTGGTTAGATTTCCCTGAGAGAGAGAGGGGAAGGAGCGGGGGATGGGGGAAAATCTAAGGAAAATCGGGGTGGAAACTTAAGTTTGAGGGGAAAGCCAAGTGGGCTCTGGGGAGGGACTAGACGCGGAGCCCGGAAATCAAATATTCGATGAGTTGTATGAATTACAGGTAATATCACGGCGATTATGGGGCGTTCAACTGAGCTCTGACCTCTGGCCAAGTTTATTGGTTTTATTTCCTGTTTTGCTAAAATTATGTTTAGTTGGTGGTTTTAAGGCAAAATAAAGCCAATTTCCCAGAGTTTCCTTAAATTAAAACAATGAAATGTCAACGAAAGTTTACTTGTTTGAATTTATTTATAATTTTAATATTATAATTTAATGTTTATAATTTATTAATTCTTTTTTAATATACAAAAAATAATTTAAAACATTGTGAAATTAATTTTAGAATTATTTAATTAACCAGTTTTTACATTTTCTGAATTTTCTTTTTAATAATACTTCAAATATTTTCCACTTTTCATGGTCTTTTTAATTTAAAACATTTTTTTTTACTGAAATTATCGATTTATTTTTTATTTATTCTTAATAAATAATCAAAAATTACAATTTATTTATATTTTCTTCTTCGTTTTCCTTCTAAATTTTCACACTCGTTTTCGTTTCAAATACTTTTCCAATTGAAAACCATTGGCTGTGAGAAGAAAAGCATAACAGCTGTGGCTGAAAATGCATTTCCCTTTCATTAAGCGTTTGTTGTTTCTGAGAATGTATATATGTATATAGTATATTCTGGTTGCTATTGTTGCCTTTGTCCATATGTTGTTGCAGCTGCAATTGGCCACCAAGTTGTGGCCCACATTTTGTGATGTGTGTTGTTGTTGGTCGCCTCTCACCACTCGCCACTCTTGCACTCTCCTCCTCGGTTTTTGGCCAAAAAAGCATCCACTTGAGTGATTCCCTAGACCTAGCCCACAGCCCCCTTCTTTCACAGCCACGCCCCTTTAGTGGACCGCCAGCCGGAAAAGTTTCGTGTATGTATGTTAATTAAAGTCATTACGAGGAGGTCGCCACTGCCACTGCAAAGGAAACAAAAGACGAAAATGGCAAAAGCAAATTGTTCACTGAAAGAAAATATATAGAAGAAATATGTGGGGTGAAGAGAGATTTTTTTGGATATTATTTTGAGTAAAATAGTTAAAAAAAATAAATATTAATGATAAAAAGAGTAATAAAATAATTAAAAAATAAATACTAAATTTTAAAATGAACAAATAAAATACTAAAAAAATAATTACAAATGATAAAAAGAGTAATTAAAATATTATGAGTAAATAAAATGCTTAAAATAATATTATTAATAATTAAAATGAGCAAATAAAATATTATAAGCAAATAAAATAATTTAAAAATAAATAACTAATTATAAAACAAGCAAATAAAATACTTAAAAAAAATGTAACAACTTTAAAAATATAAAATTTTTTTTTTATAATTTATTATAATAAAATCTAGGGCAGTTATTCAATATTTTTTCTAACTAATAATTAATAAATAAAATTAAATTAAAATTAAAAATATATACTAATGATAAAACGTTTTAATAAAATAATATCTAAGGCATTAATCAATATATTTTTTTTTAAATAAAGAATTTAAAAATAATTGCCAAACTAATAATTACAAATTAAATGTAAATTATTATCTATAAAGTACTTTATTCATCGATTCCCAATCCAATTTTCGACCTGTGTAGGTGAACTTAGAGAGGGTGTGTGTGAGGTGGGCAGAGAGTGTGTGCCACACACACACGACAACAACAACTACAACAAAGTGAAGCCAAACGCTGCGCCAAATTGGCCAATTTTCATATGCATGCCAAGCAGGAGCAGCAGCAGCAGCAGCAGCTAAGGGCAAAAGAACACGGGAAATGGTTGGAGAAGGGCACACCGATGGGGTGGTGCTGGTGGTGACTAGGAAAATCTCCTCACTTTTTGGCATTGACATCAATGAATAATTTTGGACCACTGGTGGGAGGAGTGTGCTGTGCCCAGGGGACGGGGGAAAGTGACGCAGACGCCACGTGTCAGAAGCATTGTTGAAATAACGAAACATGTGAGAAGAGATGCCAGCAGCAGGGCGAGAAAATATTAATAAAATAGGGAAATTGCATACAAAAAAAAATATTAAAAAAAAATTAAATGATTTATACAATTTTAAAAATAAATTAAATAAGAAAATTGTATAAAAAAATGAATGAAAAGAATATTTTAAAAAATTAAACAATCTAAAAAATTCAAGAAAGCTTAAAAATTCCTAATTAATTTAATTAGCTTAACTATATTTCCTTTATTTTATGACTAAAAAACAAGAAAATTTATGAAATTAATTTAAAAATTCACTAAAAAATATATTTAAAAAAGAATTAAATGTTTTATAAAATTTAAAAAAAAAAAGGAATAAAATTAGAAAAATATATGAAAAAGTAAAAGAAAATATTCAATGATCTATAAAATTGAAAAAACTTTAGAAATTCCGAAAGATATAAATTTTTAATTATATTTCCTTTATTTTAGGATTCAAAATTAAGGAAAAGTAAATCAATTCATTAAAAAAATGTATGAAAAAATATTAAAAAAAAATTAAATGACCTATACAATTAAAAGAAGGAATAAAATTAGAAAAAAATGCATAAAAGAAAAATATTTATAAAAAATTAATTTATCTATAAATTTGTAAAAAGATTAGAAATCGCTTAAAAATTCAAATTTTTAACTATATTTTCTTTATTTTATGACTCAAATTAAAGGGAAACTAATCTCAATTAAATATTTAATTTATTATTTCTTCAAGTGCTCTATAATTCCCTTCAGTGTAGTTGTGCTTTCATCTACATCTCGTGGCCAACCCCCCCTGTTCCTCTAATGATGCACAACATGCACAAAATGTGTTAATGACAACCCACCTCTCGACTCCAACGCTGGCTTCTCTCTCAGAAAAGCACTCGATAGCTGCCTAATGAGTCCCGGGCCCAACGAACCTGTTGCCCCGAAAAGCCAGGCCAGTTTTGCCCATTTTTCGCAGGACGAAATACTCCTCCTTTTGGTGTTACTTTTTCTTTTCAAATCGACGCTGGCCCTGGCCAGAGTGAAGCAAATTAAATTGCAGCATGAAATCGAATTGCCAGCAGGCAGCTGAGGCATTCAAATCTTTTGGTATCCCAGCAGCCCAGCAGTCAGGCATCCCAGCATCCCAGCATCCATAAGATACGCTCTGCAGCTGCTGCCCCAGCCAGAGAGCGAGCGAACAGGAAGTGGATGAGCCCAAGATTCAGCAGACTTTAAATTGCTTTTCACCTGGCAAAAAAATAAAAAAGAAGACACAAAAAATACAGAGAGACTACTCCTAGCACTCGAACTAGAAAAACTAGCAGTTCTACAAAGTGTTCGATTAAAATAGATATTTTTATGGCTTTTGCATTTGAAAATTGCATTAGGCAAAAGTGGTTGGGCAAAAGGCGAGAGGAGTAACTGAATTGTTTTCATTGCCCAGATCGCTCCATAAAGATAGCTTTACATTTTTAAAGCAGAAAACTGAAATTTATAGGGGAAAATTCTAGGGTTACATTCAAGTAGGAAATTAAAAGTAAACAGTATATATTCTATATTTTTTCTCTCTCTCTGCGAATTGCTTTCAAATAATCGATTTTGATTCCTGCCAAAATATGTTTCCTTCTGAATCTCTGCAATTTTTGGGGATCATTCCCAGCTATATGTTTTTACGATGATGAAAATGCTAAATCTTAATTGAAAAATGCATAACAATTGTGATATTGTTTCCATTCGGAGTTATGCTTTTAATTCCTCTTTTTTAACTGTGTGATTTCTTTGGAACCAACTCTCGGGCAAAATCAAAATCAAAATCAAAATGTTGCAAAAATGCAGCGAATAAACAGCATATTGTTGTCATTGTTGCCGTTATCATCGTTCGTTTTTTGTATTGTTTTTTTGTTTTTTTGTGATTTATTTGTTGTTACTTTTGTTGGCAACGCCTCGACAAGACCACAAACAACTCGTTAGAATTTGCATGTGAAATGCAATCGGGAAACAAAAAAGCACAATAAAAAAAAAAAACTGAGCCAAAAAGGATACAACCATTGCCAAAAACAGCAAGTAAAAAAAACAACAGAAACAAAAAAACAAACAAAAGAAAGTAAACAAAGCTAAAAAACCTCGAAAAAGGAGGGAAATTTCAATGCTAGTCGAAGCTTTGAATGCTCTTTGAATTTTTATAAATATTTAATAAAGTTTAAATAGTTAAATTTAAAAAAAAATCGTAAGAAGGTAAGGAAAGCTAGAAAACTTTGAAATAAAAAATAATTCCCATGCAAGTCAAAGCTTTAAATACTCTTTAAATGTTTTTTAATAAATAATTAAATATATAAATAATTAATAATAAAATATAAAAAATATAAATAATTGTTTAATAAGGTTTTAATAATTAAAATAAAGTAATAACCTAATTATCCAAAATTTTTTCATATAAACTACAAAAAAACCCGCTGAAAAAATCCAGTTTTCAAATTCTAACATCCTAAAGAAAATATATTTTACATAAATTATATTTTAGATATACCCTTAAAAAAAAAGGTATTAAAAAATACTAGAAAAGCCAACAAAACTGGCAAACATTTTCCAGCTTTGTTAAGTGGAATAGAGATGGGCATAAAAGCAAGACAGAGATAGATTTTTCCCCGGGTGGAGAGCTAGGAAAATGGAAATATCTACGGGGCAATGGAAATTGGGTATTCCAACGGCAACAACTAAGCATTTGACTATATAGCAGCGGATGGCTATCAATTTGATATATCAATCAGGACGAGAACGAGAAGGATAACGCGAATGCGAACACACCGGACCGAGGTCAGGGGAAATTCATTTGGATTTTGTGTAGAGGCCACGCCCCCCCTGGTCAGGTTCTGGTGTGAAATGTAATAGCCTGAAAGAACATTTGCTTTATGGCCAAGTTAACAGAGAAAATTCAACGTTAACACTCAATTTTTAGTGAGTTTTCTCAAACGTTTTTGTAATTTTACTAAAAATAATATATTAATTACTAAATATTTAACTAAATTGAAGCCTGGCAAAACCTTTTAGGTATATTTTTTTGTTGTTGTTGCATTTGGACATGTTAATAACCATCGACTTGAATCGCTATTTGATATGGTTTTATTACCATCCGTCCGTTAATAGCCAACCCCCATCCACACCCACACCCACATCCCGGGTTGGCCTTGAGCGGGGCTTACTTGCAGATGGCGTATACTTATATGGGCGAGTGTGTTCCGGTTTTGTCAGTCTGCTAGCTAGGATTATCTTGGACACACGCTGGGCCACTCATAAAGGGAGCCCTAGCCGCCCCCCCTTTTGGCCCTCTGATTGATTTATGTTTTCCCCCTACGCAAAAGAAGGGGGGAAGCTGTCTCCTCACTAGCTAGAATTATTTTTTTTTCCCCACTTCTTGTGCTCGCTGTTAATAGCTTTAATGCTGCTTTATGGCATTTCGTGGAGAAAAAGCAACAAATATTGTACACATTGGGATCTGGGATCTGGAACTGAAACTGAAACCGAAACTGGGACCTCGCATGCCAACGCCAAATGTTTTACATGCCTGCTCTTTAGGACACTCGCGAGAAAAATGTGTATTTATATTAATTAATTAATTAATTATTAATTATAGAAATTATAAAAAATAGCAGAGAATATTTTTGGAAACCAAACTAGACTAGTTTTGATGAATATCTAACTGATTTCATAGTTTTGAATTTTAAGAAATATTTAAACACTTAAAACCCCAAGTCTGAATTCAATTGTAACTATTCTAATTAAAGTTTTCCAATACTTAACCTCAAAGCTTTCTGCTCCTAAATTCGTACTTGAGAATTTTAAGGCTAAAAAACGATGAATACTCTCAAAGAAATATAATTTTTCAAATATTTAAATACTTAAATACATTACTTTACTCCTCAATCTCGTTTCCTTGCTGCCCCTGAATTCGTACTTGAGAATTTTAAGGTTTAAAAAAAGATTAAAAAACCCATAAAAACAGGTTTAGCCATTATTTTTCAAATATTTTAATATTTATATACATTTACTTTACTCCTCAATCTCTTAGTTTCTTTTTATCATAATTATTAATAATTGTTTCTTAAATTACCAAGATTTAACCTTTGCTTTTCTTCGAGTGCATTCCGCTTGCCACTTACTGTGGCAACAATGTTCAAGCATAAATAAATTGGCATCGGCTGCGGGTGCGAGGCTCATAATTCCAGCTTTTATTTGTGGGATTTTGGCATGGCATGTCCGTCATGCATCCCTGCTTCTCCTTGGCCTTCTCAACGCATTTTCTGAGCGTTTCTCCTCGATTCTCCTTGGTTTCTCCTTTTGAAATCTCTCCATGCAACTCTGACCATTCATTGCCCAGTCTCGTCCACTTTCTCTGCTCTCCACGCTGATTAATGGCTTTCCGTACTCTGCAGATGATGTCCGACTCCGAGTCCTGCGGCTGCTAAGTCCCCAGACCAGACTTGTTCTATTCGTCGAGGGTATCGCCTGCCGAGGAGTAGGAATCTCGCCCCAGGAGAGAGAGTGAATCTCGCTTGCATTCACACCATGTATCCGGCCAGCGGCAGTGGAGGAGGTAGTGCAGCCACGGCTGCCAAGTTCCAGAATCGCTGCGGATCGCCGCAGTTTGCCAACGAGTATCCGCATCCACATCCGCACCAGCATCCGCATTCGCATCAGCACCAAACGCAGACCACGGCGGTGGCAGTGCACAGTGCTCCGTCGGGAGGAGGAGTGCCCAGCAGCAGTGGTGGCGGCGGCGGCGGTGGCTCCATGTCGATGCGACATGGCCAGCGAATGGTGGCCTCGCACCAGCATCCCGGCAACCAGATGTCCCTGAATCATGGCCACGGGCCACTGGGTCACAGCCATGGCATGGGCCATGGCCATGGCCATGCGGCAGCCACCTTGGGGCATCCGCATCCGCATCAGCACAGCGGCAGCAGCAGCAGTGGCAACAGCAATAGCCACAGCCACAGCCACATCGGTTCGCATCTGATCTTCCCCGACGACATGGACAGCATTGAGTTCTGCATGCCGGCGCCGCCCTCGTCCTCATCCTCCTCCTCGCAACAGAATGGCATGGGGATTGGGATCGGGCTAGGGATGGGCGATCAGCTGCTCATGGGCAGCAATCACGGCGAGGCGTTCACGGAGCGCCGTCGAAGGGGTCACAGTCGGCGGAGCAATCACAAGATGGATGTGGAGCAGCAGGTGAGTCACTTGAAATTTGAATATTTTCACCGAAGATTAATCATAGAATTGAACGGAATTATAACATTATAGGGTTATATATTTTAATTTTTAAATATTTATCACAAGGATTAGGGGCAAACGTTGAGCTTGTAAACTCGTTAAATATTATTGAAAGTCAACAATGAAATGCGGATTGAGTTTGAGCTCTATGGCACGTGACATGTTAATCTAAGGAAAGGCCACAGTTTATCTGAAATTATCAGAGGGAAATATTTATATTATTTGCGGAATTATGTCAATTTATATATCAATGGGTTTTTGTAATTCAATTGTTATTAAAGATTATTTTCTTCAAAGGGATTTAGTAGTTTGTTAAGCTTTAATTAAATTTAAAGAGTGCATACAAAGGGGTTTTTTTTAGTATTAAAGTGAAGATTATAAAAGTTAATAAGATGCATAACGACATATTTTTATATTTTTAGTTTTAAATCAGAAAAAGAACACTTTTTCTCTCCTTTTCTTTTTGGTGCTTTTCAATTTGTGTCCCCACTTGGGCGCCAATTTTAATGCTATCATAAAAATGTTCAACTGTACGCCCGTTATGCATCTTATATAGAATTTTTAATGCTTAAATGCTTCAAGATTTTTCAAAATAAGAAAATTCGCTGACAAGAAAATTTATAAAATTACTTTAAAAACCCTTAAAAATTTTAAAAAATTTATTAAAAATAAATCAAATTAAATTTTAAATAAATAAATAATTTAAATTATTAAATATTTGTTTTTAACCCATTTTGTCACCCTTTTAACCAGGTGAAATGGTCCCGCAAAAATATTGCCGCCACCATGGAACGCTTTGAACCGACACCCAACACCCAGTCCTCGTCGTCCACCTCGTCACTGGACTACGGATTCGCTGCCGGCGTTATGACGCCCAGCAGCAGCAGTGCCACGCCCTCGCATGGCGGTGGTGCCTCCAATCCTTCGCTGCATGTGGCCTTCAATGGCGGGGGCAGTTCAGCGAGTGGCGGCGGCGGCGGCGGTGCCGTTGGTGGCTCTAACTCTGGTGGTGCCAGTGGCTCGGGGGCAGCTGCTCCGTCGGCGCCATTTAACCATGTCTACTCGTATGCCTACTATGAACCAGGCGCCGCCAAATGCCACACAAATGTGCCCGCCCAGGGATCGGGATCTAGCTCAGGTTCCGGTTCCGGTTCGGGTTCCGTTTCCGCCTCCGGTTCGGGTTCGGGATCAGGCCAGGCCCAGGGCCACTCAAAGAGTCCGCCCCGAAACTCCATACGCGCCCTGCTGGCCAAGAGCTTCCGCTCGAAGAGCAGCTCCACCCACGGCGGCCAGTCCACCTCCAGTTCGCCCAGCGCCGAGGAGCGGGACCGTCACACATACACCACGCGCTACGGGACCACCGAGAATCTGTACGAGGAGGTTAGCGAGCAGAAGATCCGCAAGGTGCTCTCGGACAACCGAATTGCCAGCGGCTCCAGTGCGGGCAACGTTAAGGAGGAGCAGCGACGCGTCCAGCACAATCATTTCCGGGTGCTGGACGAGCTGAATCTCTCGCTGGAGGCGTTAATTATGCCGCCCACGCCGCCGGATGTGAGTCCCAGCCATGTCCTAGGCGAGGATGAGCCAAGCAACACGGCATCTAATCTGGTAACTGGCTCTGGTGGCTCTGGAGCGGTGGGCGGCGGATCTGCAGCATCTCAGATGGTAGCAGCGGCGGCGGCGGCGTCAGCGTCGTCGGGAACCTCGAAAACAGCCCAGAGGCCCAGGCGCGGCGGTCTTCTTGGCGGAGCAGCCAACTCTGGCAATTCGCACACCTCCAGCTCCGCCTCGCATGCCAGCCTGGAGAATCTGTCGAGCACGCTGAACAGCATGGAGCTGAAGGATCATGGCCACAGCAGCTGCATCAATCCGGAGTTCGATGAGGGCGACCTGGACTCCGGCTTCAGTGGCAGCGGCAGCAGCAGCGGGGCCAGTTACAACGAGAGCCTGCGCTACTACAAGTCGGCCACGCCCACTGGCCACCAGATGCACCATCACCAGATGCAAATGCATCAGCATCAGCATCAGATGCAGCTCCATCAGCATCACCAGATGCAGGCCGGTCACCACAACAACAACAATAACAACAACAACAACACGTTGCCCCACAATCTGCGCAGCTGCCGCTCCTCAACGGCCTCGGGCACCTCGACCTCCAAGAGCAGCATGGCCAGCTGTGGCGAGGATCAGGGCATTGGCATGACCTTGGCCGTGGGCAGTGCCCAGGATGGCAATGGTTCCCTGTCACCCTTTAGCTATCCGCGACGCTGTTCGGCGGACCAGCAGCGAGCCTCTGGCAGATCAATGACCTCCGGCGGAGTTGGAGTAGGAGGCGGCAGCGGTGTAGGTGCTGCCGGAACATGCATGCCGATGGGCAACATGGTCATGAGTGGCGGCAATGGCATGGCCATGGGCATGGGCATGAGCATGAGCAGTAGCAGTAATGTGGCCCTTTCCACGGGAGCGAAACCCAAGAAGAACTTTTGGACCATGAAACCGTGATGCTACAAAAAGGCGCTGCGTCACATTTGCAAGAAATGGACTATTGTTATGGTGAGTATTATTATTTATTATTATTTAAAATATTAGATATTTTATATAAATTCCGATTCAAAATCTCTGCATTATATCTCTACTTTAAATTCTTGTACCAAAATAATCACAACACTCGACTCGACTTGACACTCGTTGATTGTGTTAACCCCTTTCAATAGTTGATTGCTTTTTATGGCCATTCAACCATTTAAGATCATCTGCCATGATTATCTCCAGTTTCCATCTCAAAATTCCCACCCCAACTCCTTCTACTCTATGGAACCAATCCGGGTTTGGGCATCAATTTCAACTTTTCAACTTTAATCATAATAAATTTGCGACCCTGGCCATGGGTATACATATATAGTAGTTCCACTATATAGCATAGTGGCTCCATTTCACTTTACAATCAACGAGATACTTCCGCCGGAGAGGAGGAGGCAGCGGATCCGAGAGAGACCATCCTCGTTGGTTGGCGTTGGCATTCCCAAGATAATAAATTTATTAACCGAGAACCGACCCACAAAAACATCATCATTATCCCGGGGTTGTTTTCATCCCTCTGAAATGAATCAATTAAAACTGATTGAACTTGATAGATTTTCTTCATCGGGGTAGAAAAAAAAAAAATTCATTTATAACTGTGAAACTGGGCTAATCCGCATCGCTCATTGGATTTTTTTCTTCCCTTTTCTTTATTTTTTTTTTTTTTGGTGTGGGAATGTATCACATATGCCCCCATTTTATAAACTGGTCACGGGGATTACCCCGAAGATGAAGAATCTGAATCGGAATCAAAATCGGCCTAAGGGAGATGTATGTATGTAGTATATGTGGGTTGCAGAAGAAGGGATGACCCATTAAGGCGCCTGTTGAAAGATGCAACCATCTCTCAATGTATATTACACCCCCTTAAATCCTCGAGATATCTGCTGGCAAACCCCCCACACCCGCTCTTGTGTGTGTGTGAATAATACCGTTATTCATTGCATTTTGTTATAAATCTGTCAATTTGCACAATTGTGCGTATGGGTACACTGAGAAGAAAAACGTCGAATTTTTAAGAAGAATGAAGATTTAAATGTGAAGTTAGGGACTTATTTTTGATGTTATTTATTTAATAAATACCATAAAATATTTATTAAAAAATATATATAGAATATATATTATAGAATACTTAAGAAATTGAAAATGTAGAAAAGTTACAAGAAAATTATACATATTTTTTAGATTTAAAGTTTTAGTTTCCAAAAAACTTTTAAGGTGTAACTTCTATTTTTAATTAATTTTTTTATAGCCATTAAATTAATAATAATGCTAAAAATAGTATACAAATAATAGTGTTATTATATCTTAAATTTTTGCATTTCCAATTAATTATAATTATTAAAAATAATTTTAAAAAATTCTAAAAATAATTTTCAAAAAATTCTACAAATAATTTTAAAAACTTCTAAAAATAATTTTTAAAAATTCTAAAAATAATTTTTAAAAATTCTAAAAATAATTTTAAAAAATTCTAAAAACAATAATATTATTATTTCTAGAATTTTCGCATTTTCAATTAATTATAAATAATTTTTTCAAGTGTAAGGCTGCTGCGTTCCCTGTGCAATTCGACAGGGCTGGCAGGGTGTGCTGCACTGAGGGAGCTGGGTGTGCCTGTGTATGCGTGTGTCAGCCCTCGGGGGCAGCTCCGTCGCACATGTGTGGCAGCCGCAGGGTGCACGCTCTTCTCGCATTTTGGCGGCGACCATAAAAAATCTGTTGCGAAAAACTCGGAAATGGCTCCGAAGGCAAAATCATTTTTAAGAGGTATTTTTAGGGTATATTACATGGGATCAGGATTTTATATGAAAAATTTGCGGTATAAGAAGAGCAGGAGATTTTAAAAAGGAGATTTTAAAAAGATGATTTTAAAAGGGAGATTTTAAAAAGGAGATCTTAAAAAGGAAGATTTTAAAAAGGAGATTTTAAAAAGAAGATTTTAAAAAGGAGATTTTAAAAAGGAGATTTTAAAAAGGAGATTTTGAAAAGGAGATTTTATACAGGAGATTTTAAAAAGGAGATTTTAAAAAGGACATTTTAAAGAGGAGATTTTAAAAAGGAGATTTTGAAAAGGAGATTTTAAAAAGGAGATTTTAATAAGGAGATTTTTAAAAGGAGATTTTAAAAAGGAGATTTTAAAAAGATTTTAAAAAAGAGATTTTGAAAAGGAGATTTTAAAAAGGAGATTTTATAAAGGAGATTTTGAAAAGGAGATTTTATACAGGAGATTTTAAAAAGGATATTTTAAAAGAAGATTTTTAAAAGGATATGTTAAAAATGAGATTTTAAAAAGAAGATTTTTTAAAGAGAATTTTATTCAGGACATTTTATAAAGAAAATTATAAATAGTCGGTTTTATTCAATAGATTTTATATAGTAAATTTTATTAGATTTTACACAGAAGATTTTATACAGTGGAGTTTATATAAAATATTATAAAAATTATAAAATTTTATACAAGAGTTTTTATACTATAGATTTTATTTAGTAGATTTTATACAGTTAATTTTTTACATAAGATTTTAAACAGTAGATTTAATTGAGTATATTTTATAGAGGAGATTTTATATAGGAAATTATTTTCAGTAAATTTCCTTGAATAAATTCTATAAATATTTTGAACAGAAGACTTTTCCAGGGTATCAAGATCTTCTTGATTCCTTGATTCCCTCACTTGAACCGCTCTACCACGTTGTTCAACGCTGTTGTTCCGTTGTTGTTGCTGTTGTCCCGCGTGTTGATTTATATTCGAAACTGCGCCGAGGCGCAACTAATTTGCCTCGGGTGTTAAGTAGCATGTGAAATAAACGCAACGGGCGAAAGCCAAACACACTGGGAGATGCGCCCTGGAAGAAGACAGGGGTGGGAAGGGGGGGGGAAGTGCGGAAAAGCAGGCTGAAGGGGGAAAACCCTGAAAAGGGAAACTCGTCGGGTGCTGCTGCTGTTGCTCCTGCTGCCTCTGCCAGTCTCCATTGAATGCCGTTTGAATGGTTGCATGGATATGCGAGCGAGCGAGCGAGTGTGTGTGAATGGTCCATTGCCTGGGCCATGAATAAGTGACCAAGTGCTACCGACTTCCTTGTATATATATATATATATATATATAGTACTCCTTATTCAATTCCAACTCACAAAACATTTCAGAGTCATTTATGAAATCGGGGCCAGGGCATTCATCGAGAGGGACTCTTATTCAGACTGGAGATTGTGAATGCCTAGCATTCACCTTGAATTAAAGGAAAACTACTACTAAGAATTTAATAATAATTTAATAAAAAAAACTATAGAGTATAGAAAAATGATTAAATTCTCTAGCTAAAGTTGAGATTTTACCTTTATAAAGTTGTGAGTCTAAGCAGACATCTACCCAATGTACCTCTCTCTTTTATCCTGAAACCTTTTCATTTATGTAAGACGACTTTATCAGTTTTTTTTTACAAGTTTTTGGCCACCAGCCCAGACATCTCATCATCATCATCATCATCATCATCTGTATTAGAGACTCACCCTTGACCCTTTAGCTTTTCCTTTTCCTGCTTTTCCTAAACCCATTTTCCATTGAAAAACCCCCTCATATGTGACCCAAAACTGTTCTATCTGCAAACGATTTGTGCACACTCGATTTGACAGTCAGTCAGTCAGTTTTCCATTTCCCTTTTCCAGTATTTGTTACATTTTTCCTTCTTTTTTTTTGGGGGGAGAAGGAGAAAGAATCGTTTAAATGTAACCCAAACAATAATAAAACATTTTAAAACTTGCGCCGGCTAATAAAGTGAAAGGAAAGCGAAAAACGGAACTCGAAATGAAATCAGAGCCACATCAGAGAAAAATTGTGGGGGAAAAACGTCTGCTTTTTCGCTTCGAGCAAATATGAAAATGGATCTCGATTTGGGGAAATGCCTGGACAATGCCCCACAATAAGCACGTAAGGGGAAGATAAGGAGTAAGGCGAGCCAAAGGATTGGGCATAAACATTCACTTACACACAAAATACTCAAATGAACAACACATTTCTATTTAAACAGTATTTGTGGAAAGGAGGGGGAAAGGGGTTCCTACCACCGGAAGAAAGGCTGCCCAGAATGGCGGTCGCCACTCCGCCTGGAGCTGGCTGGAAAATTTGTCAGAAGTTTTGCCCAAATGGAGCAAACTGGGCTCCTAAGTTGACTTTTACCCGGCCAGATTGCGTCCGACTGATTAAAAATTGAATGATGGAGGGCACCGAGACGAAGACGATGTGGAGTAGGGGTAGTTGGGGCCTTAGGGGGCGGCTTGGTTGGGAAATTGTATCATGTAGGGAGAAAATTGAGAGGGAAAGGGTAAAAACATTCTTATAAACCTAGTTACTACACGGCAATAGGGGGAAATGGTATTTCCTAAGTGTATTTATATATTTTTGTATTATTTTATATTTTTTAAATTAAACAATCAGAAGAAGATCTTTAAAAACTCCACAAATATGTCCCAACGAAAAATTCGCTTTAGTAAATTGCGTCTTACAGTCACCGCTTATTTTCGTGTATCATTAAACAGCTTCTATTTTTGCAATCCCTTACACTCTCGGACCATCATCATCCCCCCCGATGTGCGCAGTATTTCTGCGAGTGTAGCAAAGTGGAAGGAAAGCCAAGGGAAGAACCTTAACCCGCTGGCGCCAAAGTCGCGTGGGTAACACAATAAATTTGCAAGGACAAGGACCCGCTTGGTCTGGTTCCTTTTTTTTTTTTTTGGCTCTAGGTCTACTGCTGCTGCTGCTGCTGCTGGTCCTTGCTAGGGTTCTTCTTGGAAAGGAGCAGTCCTTTCCATTTTCCTTTCATTGGCAAGGCGCCAAGCCGGCAGCGTCCAGGGGAATGAATAAGGATACAGGCGGACACACGGACACAGGGACACAGGGACTGACTGACGGGACGAAGGAATGGCGTAACGTCGTAGCCAAAGGACAATGGCAGGCGTAGAGCAATAACACACACTGAATTGGGGGTGGCTCAGCGCTGGGCTCAACGGTAGCTGGTGGTGACATTGTCCTCGTGTACAAGTTCACTGAGAGAAATTTAGGAAAGCTGGGAAAAACAGAGAGAGAGAGAGAGATTCAGATATACAATAAAATTTATACTAAATTATTTATTAGGAATTTATTAATATTTTAATAATAATTTATTAATATTTTTTAAAAATATATATTTTATAACTTGGAAGAGCGAATCAAAAAGCGAGTCAAAAAGAGAGTCAAAAAGTGAATCAAAAAGCGACTCAAAAAGTGAATCAAAAACAAAATCGAAAAAGCGAATCAAAAAGTAAATCAAAAAGAGAATCAATAAGAGAATCAAAATGCTAGTCAAAAACAAGTCTGAAGTGAGTCAAAAGCGAGTCAAAAAGCGAGTAAAAAGCGAGTCTGAAGCAAGTCAAGGAACGAATCAAAAAGCGAGTCAAATGTGACTTAAAGTAAATCAAAAAGCAAGCCAAAAGCGTATTGAAAAGTTAGTCCCCCCAAAATTTGTATATTATTTTCTTAAAATTCCATATTTTTTTCTATCAAGATTCCTAAATTTTTCGCCAGTGTATCTATGCATTGAATTTTTTGGGGGTTGTCTAACCAAAATCACCCACCACTCGCGCCGTCTAAGACGACGAAAACTGTAGTAAATAATTCTTTAAAGATTTAGAGACACTCCACCCGCACAATTGCAAATTTTTATGAGATATTCAAGGCGGAATTACTCACTCTCAGAGCGAGAGGGGGTGGTGGTGGTGGTGGATTTCTGCAGGGGGTTGATGGGGGTGCGGCGGCGCGTGCTTGTCGCGGCTTTTTAGCTATTTTCGTCAGCGTTCCCATTCGAGGTTCCCCTTCCCCCCGCCAGTCCCAGTTCGAGTTGAAGTTCGTCGCCGACATAAGCCGGCCACATATCAAGATTAATTTTTTCAAAGATAATAAATTCAATGCAGATTAAACGGCAGAGACCATTAAATTATCGACTTGAGGTTCGTTTCGTTTTGCGCTCCCACACAGCTGGTGCTTGGGATTGGGATTTGGACTGGGACTGAGACTGGGTTTATGGGTTGAGAGGAGGAGTCCCTCTCTCTCATTCTCCTTGGGGCATTGTTCGGTTGTCCTAAGCTGATGACTGCATTACCATTAACATTGGGCAAACGTGCGTGAAGAGCAATTGATAATGCCAGATGAGAGACATTTGTGGGGCAATCGAAAATTCTGAGGTTTGTTCGCTCGCAAATCGCCTTAAATCTGACATTAATGATAACTATCAATTAATTTTGTGTACAGTCTGGGCATATGCTATGAATTTATAGTAATAATAAGGCAAATGATATTTGTTTAAAATGCAATTAAAGACTTGAAGGTTTTTTTTTTTATATTTTAAAGAGAAAAAATAAACATTTAATGACATTGATTGATTCATTTAATGCCTGAAATCCAGGCTATAAATTATGGAAATGTCAGGCAAAAATAAATTCCTTTATTGAATTATTAGTTTAATTTATATTTTATATTAATTTATAGGAAATATAAATAGTTGTAGCCTCAGGAACCCCTTTTTTCTTGGTTCTCAGCTTGGAGAAACCTATTTTAATTTATTTTATAAATTTTAATTTTCAATTTGTAGAAAATATAAATAGTTATAGCCTCATTTTGGTTTCTACTACGTTAGATTTCCCATTTTCCTGGCTTTTTTGTTTGGTTAAACCTATTTTTATTAATTTTATAATTTTTAGAAAATTAATTTATAGAAAACAGAAATAGTTTTAGCCTCATTTTGGTTTCAAAACCACCTTTTTCGTCAGTCTCAGTTTGGAAAACCCTGTTTTTATTTATTTTATAAATTTTAATTATTAATTTATAGGAAATAAAAAAAAATTATAACTTCATTTTGATTCCAGAACTCCTTAAGGTTTCGTTTTTACTGAACTCTTATTTCTATTATTTTTATAAATTTTAACTATTAATTTCTATAATTTATGGAAATAGTTTCAGCCAGATTTTGATTTCAAAAACCCCTTTAGGTTTCCCCTTTTTTCTTAACTCTTGGTTTTCGGGGAAACCTATTTGCATACCTGACGACCATTAGGATTATCATCAAGCACATCTTTATGAAAACTTTCTGAGGAAAACTCCCAGAAGAAGCAAAGAGATCTGGAGACCATTAGGATTATCTGCAGATTTCACTGTTTCTCTGCTGCTTTTCACGGCCATCATGAAAGTTATAATGGAGATGCAGGGGGATTTCTATTCCTTCGCTGCTCTTTCCTTTGCCAAAAAAAAAAGAAAATGGAAAACTTGCAAGTGAAAACGGAAAACAAAACGCAATGCAGACACATCAATTACGACAAAAAGAGGGGGCGAAAAGTGGGAGACAGCTTCAATTGAACGCGATTCGGTGTGCTTTTTTTGTGTTCTTTTTCTATACCAACTGTTAAATGCAAACGACAGATCCTCCCAGACCCCCAAACCCAGGGCCATATCTCAGCCCATCAATCAGGACCAAAAAGCTAAAAACAAACCGGGAGGGGGGAAAAAAAAGAGAGAAACTGCGAGCGAGAAATAGAATCTCAAAGTCAATTTTTTGGCAAACAAACAAACCGATTGACGTAGGCCCCCAAAAACCTAAACCCCAAACCTTTTGCTTAATCAATGTGCGGTGGGTGGTGGTGGGCTGAAAATCGGGGGGGAAAAACCCAAGCGAAAATCTGAAGCGAAAATGTCAAATGCGTTGATTGGAAGGCCGTTTCGCCTAGCGTTCGCTTAATGCGAATGAGATTTGTTGCAAATCAGGGGCGAATGCGGCACAAAAAACGGAGCTGGAGCTCTCGCGGGGCTGCCAGACCGCACAATCAGTTTCCGTTTCCGGTCGCTGGCCGCACAATTAAGCGCGGCGGCACCAGCGACGGCCATTTTGCCGATGCTCCACTTGGCTAATAAACAAGCAATGCCAACGAGGTGAGGCTAGGGCAGGTGTGCCAAAGGTGCCAAAGCGTTGGTTTACACTCTAAAAAAAAAAATCTAGAAAAATTAAATAAGGTGTACATTTTTAAGGGGAAATTAATAGGTCTTTAAATCTTTAACAACGGTGTCTAAAAGTAATATATTTTACGATATATATAGTAGCTAATAAATTATGAAATATGTATAATATACGATGTATATATAATATATGATATATAGTATAAGATATTTATACATACATATATCATATATAAAATATTTAATACATATTTTTTAAATACATTTTCTTTTAATTGAACTCCTTTTTCCTAATATTTTATATTTAATTATTAATACTAAAAATAATAATCACGAATAATTATGAATAATCATGAATAATCAATTATTTTCCACAAATAAAAAACAAAGAAAGGTAAATTAGAAATAGATTAGAAATATCTAGCTTGGTTTTTAAATATTTTAAAGTGATTTCTATAGCAGTCTTAAAATTTTATAGATCTTCTCTTGCTTTATTTGTTAAAAAATAGCAAGACAAGTGTTTTGGAAAATTAAAGAATTATTTATTATAATTATTAATATTTGTATTATTATTTATTAAATATTATTATTAGTAAAAAAGGTTGAAAAAAGAGAAAACATATTTAAAAAATATATTTTTTGCATATTTCAAGTGATTTCTATTTCTTTTATAATTAAAAAAGTTATAACATTAGAAAAAAGGTTTTAAAACAAAAGAAAATTTATTTAAAAATATATACATTTCATAATCAAATATGAAATTAGTTAAATTAAAATTTAAAAGAACTCCTATTAAGTTTCCCCTCTAAAAATTTTCTCTGCCTGCATTTTGGAATTCCATGTTTGCTTTGGCCACTGTCGCTTGTTTTTTTTTTTTTGTTGTGTTTTTTCATACTTTGGTCGCTGGTCCTTGGTCGTCGCTTCATTAAGTGTAAAAAAAATACACGCTGTATATATGTAAATGAAGGCGGTGGCAAAATGCCACTTGGCCTCCCGCTTGTTGTTATTATTATTGCCGCTGCTGCTGCTTCACACCTTTATTTGTGCAAGAGCTTTTGTTGGGAATATGCGTTTTCATTTCGTTTGGTTTGGTTTTGTTTGCCGGCGAACGCAATGCAAACAGCAACAACAACAACGGCATGGACATCACTGCCCTTCAGTTCCATTCCTCAACGATTCCCCTACGATTCCTCACGGAACCGAAATAGATCCCTGACGAATCGTCAGGGAACGTTCATACAAAACTTCGAGGAATTTCCATACAAAAGGTGATCCCAGCCACGAATTCGAAATTCGCCAAGAATCCGCCACGAATCGCCAGGGAAAGTCACCGGGAATTTCGAAAGATAATCGTGCACGATTCGTCAAGGAATCGCTGGGGGAATCGTCGACGAATCTTGCGGGAATCGCTAGAGGAATCGTCGAGGAATCGCACAGGAATCGCTGGCGGCAATCGTCGAGGAATCGCACGGGGAATCGTCGACGAATCTTGCGGGAATCGCTTGGGGAATCGTCGAGGAATCCCAGATGAAAACCTATAGAAAATTCCTGAAAAATCCCCCCCTTCCTATAAAAATCCGATGTAATTTAATTCTTATTTATTTATGGATTGCATATTTTTATTTATCTTCACTTTTTTGGTAGCATTACATTTTTCTGCAAAATTAAACATGTACATATATATACATATGTACATACATAAGTGCGTGTCACGGGCCTCCTTTGTCGGCTGCTGTGTCCTTTAAGAAACTTGTTTTATCTGTAAATTAAATACATAAGTACATACATATTTTTGAATCAAATTGTAAATTGCAGTACATACCAACTTAAACTGGATAAAAAAAACTTTGTAATTCCGTACTGAATCCCATTCACACCGTCTAGGTTGAAGTCGCATCCATTTTAATCGTCAATTCCGCAATTAAAATTAATAATTGAATGCAAATAAGATCCACTTACCTTATAATATTTCATTTTTACGCAACTAATACGCAAAACACTTCTGAATGCAACAGCAGTCAACTCAAAATGCAAAGAGAATTAGAAGACAAAACCGAACACCGAAAATTCTCGCGCGTGTCAGGGTATAGCCGACAAGGCAATGCCTTGCAATTAGATTCACAAAGGGCCAATAATCAAACATGAACATTTCGGCCATGTCTAAAGCACATTTTCTTACGTGCTTATATCCCACACGATTTTATTCGTAAAAATTAATTAAATATAATCTTAAATATTTTTAAATAACTCTACTTATTTTAAAAAGGTCATTCTCACGTCGGTGCAATACTCTTTGTTTTTGACACCAATTTTCTTTCCTCCCTTCCTTCCATCTCCATCTCTCTCTAATTTACGAATTCTCGCAACCGCTACTCCGAACGTAGATCGAAAACAATAACAAATATAAAGAACGAACTTCGTGAAGCCCTCGGCAGTAGCCGAACGTAGGTAGAATTTGTTTCGGCTATTTTGTTTCGAACTTCACTGAACGAGGCCCATGTAATTTGTTTTTGTTTTTCGAACATACCGCGAGGAATTGGACGGGCGAGGAATTCTGGAACTGAAGGGTGCATATACTATACATATGTATGTGTATATATGTCGTATATATCTCCCACTCTGGGTGTGTGTGAGGCAACGAATGAACCGCCCGTTGCGCCAATTTATGACCTGTCAGAAATTTCCCAACACAGCACAACAACGACGTCCTCACACACACACACACACACACACACACAACGGAACACACACAGTGCGCCTTGAAGCAGCTTTAAGTGCATGGCCCAAAAAAGTAGGCAACACTTTCTGCTTTGGCTTCGCGCTGCAAAGTAGGCAATGCCCCCTCGCCACTTGATGGATGGTCGCAGGCCAAGAAGGAAGCATAACTTGGCCCCATTCTGGCCGAGCGATTTTAATGGAACCTCTGGCAAGGCGTAATTCGTTTTCTAAGATAACGAGTCAGTCTTATAGCTTAATTTTAACCTATTTTATATTGATTTTATATTAATTTTCTTGGATATTCTAATTAATTGAACTTAAAAGGTTATTTTGATTTAAAAATAATTATGATAAAATATATGGGGAATATAAAAGAGCTTGAGAAACATATCCTTACCCTTTTTCCCTATATCTTATTAGATTTGTTATGGTTTTAAATTAATTTTCCTAAATTTTTGGGTAATTTTTTAAGCTAAAAAGGTTGTTTTGATTAAAAAATAATTATATTAAATATATAGGGAATATATAACGGTTGATAAACATATACTTTTCCTTTAATATAACCTTAAATAATTTTTTTTTTAATTTTTCCCTATTTCTTATTTAATTTTTTATGATTTTTAATTATTTTTCCTAAATATTAGGGTATTTATTTTAACAAAAAAGGTTGTTTTGATTAAAAAATATTTATAAATATATAGGTAATAAATATTTTAGAGATTTTCTTTACTATAAACTAAAATTAATTCCATTCATAAATTTTTCTAAAGCCTAAAGCCTTTTCATATCTTTTAAATAAGTCCCCAAATGGCTTTTAATATTTAGAATTTATCATTATTTAGAGTTTATAATGATTTTAAATGATTTTTTATTACATATTATTATTATTTAGAGTTTATAATGATTTTAAATTATTTTTTATTACATATTAGGATTATTTATTAAACTTAAAATGTTGTTTTGTTTAAATAATAATAGTAAATATATAGAAAATATATATTTCCTTTAAATAAACTTGTATTAATTCTTTATAAATTTTTTTCGCAAACCTAAAACCCTTTCATAAGTTTTCCCTTTAATTTAAACTAAAATTTATTCAATTTAAAATGTGTTCTCAAGCCTAAAACCCTTGTATAACATTTAAATTATATTTAATAACCCCCTAAAAGTGTCTTAACGCATAATCTCACACCTGTAATCCCCCCCATATAATCCAGTTCCACTTGCTCCTCAACCCTTTCACTCCCCCTCCCAAACAATATGCAATGATTGTCCCAATCAAACTCATATTTCCTCACCTGGAAAACGATCAGAGGTAGCAGCTGCCTGTCGATGCTACACATAATCAGTTTTAAGTTTACCTTCCGCCCCTGTGTGTTTATTGCAGTTTATATAAAGAGTTAAAATATCCCCATTGTTGGCCCAAAAATGATTTCCTTTTTTTTTGTATTCCATGTGCTCTGGCGCAGATTTAATATTTCCGCACTATTGTCGTAGAGGGGGAGTTGCCATGACGTTGTCAGGAGGGCGCACATGTCACATGTCGTTGCCACGCCCACACAGACAAAACGTTTGGGGCGCAAAGAAGGTGTTTTGAGGTGGGGTTTACGCCCCCATATATCCCTATTTTTTTGTACGGTGGTGTCTCCTTCTCCCCTCTCTGCTTTTTGAAGGCTTTTGACTTTTTGGCATCGTTTTTGTCGCCTGTTTTATATTTATATTGACGCTTTTTTACACACACCTACACACACCTTCGCACAGTTGTGCTGGAAATAATAGCTGTGGTTTCCTTGCCATAGTTTTTCCTTCATTTTCATTGTTAATAAATTAGTTTTTTTATAAATGAAAAGAGCTTTTAATGCATAATTAAACCTGGATTGTAGAGAAAAACATTAAATTAATGGGCACACAATTCGTTAAGCAATATTTTAAAAGGCATATTTCTGAATTAAATCAACTTTATTGTTATATAAAATTTTAAAAAGGAAAAGCTTATGTTTATAAATTAAGGAATTTTACAGGATTATTATTATTTTTTTTTTTTTTTTTTTTTTTTATATATAATTTTATTTTGTCCGATTTTTAAGCCATTTTTTTGTGCCCAATCGTTGATATTTTTTTGTTGTCCTGTTGTCCCCGTTTCCCATTTATCTCTTTGGCACTCTGATATGATTTTTTTTTTTTGTTTTTTTTTTGCTTGTGGATTTTGATGTCTGGCCGAAACGCAACGAGCCACACAATGACCGACAAGCAACTGACAGCCGCAGCCGGGCTCCACCTGTTTCCAACGCCCACTTTCATGGGGCCCAAAGGCAAGCCAGCCTCTCATTCATTCATTCATTCATTCATTCAGTCAATCATGCAGCCATTCAATTTATCGTTGACTTAACTTTTTGATGGTTACAAAATGAAATTTATGGAAACTTTGGCAAAGCGGCTTCCTGGGCAGTGCTGACATGTTTGCTAGGTACATTTTTTTATGGCTAGGTACCTAGGAAATAGTTTTAAATAATTTAAATAATATAAATATATATTAATTTAAGTAGCAAAATTAGGAATGCATTTTTAAAGTATTTATTTCTGAAGTTTTATCTAGAGTGGCAGTGCTTTGTTGTGTTGTTAGGTACTTTTCTTTATGGCTAGGTACTTGGAAAATAATGTAAATAATAAAAAAATGTTTTAATTTAAGTAGGAAAGTTAAAAATACATCATTTAAGTATTTATTTTTAAAGTTTAGTGCAGAGTGGCATTACTCTGACTTGTTTCTAGGTACTTTTTTTTATAGCAAAGTACCTAGGAAATAGTTTTAATAATTTTAAATAATATAAAAACATATTTTTTTAAGTAGAAAAATGAAAAATACACCATTTAAGTATGTATTTCATAAGTTTAAACTAAACTTTAAACCCCTTGTGTTAAGTACCTTGTACCTTGTGCCATCTCTGACCTTTCTCGTTTACCTTTCTCCGGGGGCAAAGGGCCACTGGGCTGAGACCCCTACCCAACGCTTGACACTTGTGTTTGGGCATCCATCAGAAGTCGAGTCTGGACCGAAAAGCGAGTGTTATCTTTGCGGTCGCATCTATAATGGGTTTTGTCACGTTGCAGACGAGTCTGGCCTGGATACCTACCTACCCCTTTGCCTCCCAGCTGCCCCTGCTTTCCCTGCTGAGGCATGAAAAACCCACATCGACATCAATAAACTTGAAACAAAAAAGTCAAACGGAAAGGGAAAGGGCATCGGGGGTCCGGCATGTGTGTGTGTGTGTGTGTGTGTGCGGCTTATTCGAAATACATTTGCCTGTTTAAGCCGATTTTAAAACTCCTCTCTGGCCAGCTCAGTTGGGTTTAACTTCCACTCCCCAATTATCCATTATCCATTATCCTGGCACTGTCACTAGCCGGGGTCCTGGTCCTGGTGCTGCCTCTGCCTCGCAAAGTGCTTAATAACTTTGGCACCAAATGGCAGCAAGTGCATCAAATTGTCAGACATTTTCCAGTGTTGACTTTGACCGTCCCCTTTCCTTCCAGCAAAAAACATAATTGTTAAAGTCCAGCGAGGAGGAGGAGGTGGGGTGTTTCTCCTAGCCGATATTGCGGTCAAATTGGGGGGGAAGGCAGGACAACGGAGCTGCGGAGCTCCGGAGGACGCCCAATAAAAGCACATGCATGCAACAATAAATAAATTAGAACAAGGTGCGGTGCGACAGGGTCCAAGCCCAAAATGCACTGGAAACTATGGGGGATTTGATGGAGAAAAAGGATATAGAAGGGAATTTTAGAAATTTAAATTTAAATTAAATTAATTAAATTAAGGAAATTATATATAAATAAAAGGATTCAACAGAGAAATAGATATAAAAGGGAATTTAAAAAATTAATTTTTACAAATTAAAATTTAATAAAATAATTTAAAAAAATTAATAAAAGGGTTTAAACGATACAATTATATAGAAAGACATTTAATAAATTATAATTAAGTTTAATAAATAATAAATTAATAAAAAATAATTCATCTGGGATTAAAATTAAATAAATACAATATTTAATTTGTATTATATAAATTTATTACATAAAAATTAAATTGAATATTTTACTTTTTATATAAAAAAAATTAAATATTGTATTTATTTAATTTAATATTATGAAAGAATTAAAAAAAAATACAAGGAAATAAATAAATAATTTAATAAATATTAAGAATAATTAATAATTATTAAATATTAAAAATAAATAAAAGGATATATACCTTTTCTTAATAACAAAAATAAAATAAGCCCTAAAAAAGGTATTTTAAATACAATAAATTTGAATTTCACGCTCTTCAAGACTTTCTTTACCCGAATTTTCTCTCAGTGTACTCTCTCTTAATAACGGGTTAGTCCTCAGGTGGCAGCAGGGGTTTCCCAGTTAGAGGGCCAGGGCTAGGGCTACCATTTTTGTTGTCTGCTTGGCAGTCAGATGCAATTTATTGATAATATGCGAGGCACAGGAAGGGAGAGCTCAGGAATACCCATTGAAAGTCAGCGGCAACTTTATGAGAATGCGACCTTTCTGCCATTATGTTGGTTATTTACACACACACACACACACACCGAAACACGAAAATTTGTTGCACAAATTGTGGCAACAAATTTTAGCGCAGACAATATTCAGTTGAGTGGGAAAAGTGTTTGGGTTTTAGGGGAAAGCCAACTTCTAAAGCAGGAAGTGGAGGTTAGGAGAGTCTAAAAGAGTCTAGAAAGATAGAAGGATAAAAGATTTCAAGAAGAAGAAGCTGCTGGCAAAAGTCAATTGCTTGAATCTCCCCCTTTTGAACTTGTTGAACCTTGCCGCCAGCAATTCTATCTGCCTTTGAGTCCGAAAATGCAATGCAATAAATGTCAGGAAATTCACAAACATTTAGTGACCAGCCAGCAGCACTAGCAGCAGCATCAATAAATGTAGAAAAAGCAAAATATTGAACATCATTTTAATCAAAATTCAACACACAAGTGAAAACTCATTTTGCAGCAGAACGATTTCGTTTCGTTTTCGTTTTCATTTTGTATTTTCTTGTATAATTTTGAGCAATATTTATTGACCCAAATTCAGGCTTCAATATTTTGCATTTCTCATCAAACAAAAACGAAACTATTTTGTTGCAAAAAATAGTTGAGAGTTGAGAGGAGTTTCAATTTTAAACTAAAGCTTGAATTTTGTGGCAAAAAAATGTATCCTTTTACAAGCTGTACATGTTGCAAATTAATTAAGGAAAATCCTCAAAATTTATGTGTAAAAAAAACCAATTAAATATTACAATTTATATTATTTTTAAACTATAAAATATTTATTTATTTAATTTTATTTACAGGAATACAATACAAAGACTGCCTCATGCCATGCCATCCACTATTACCACCAACCCAATAGCAGCAGCAGCTATAGTAGCTATAGTAGTCGTCGTCATTATCAGCATCAGCAGCTGACGTCATCAGCCTCAACGTCATCGTCCACGTCATCACTGCAACAACAACAGCAAGAGGCTGCCAAACGGAACCGCCGACGCCGTCACTCTCTACTGCCCGATCGCCTGAATCCCTTTGAGCAGGATCAGCAGGAGGAGGAAGAGGAGGAGGTGGATGAGGAGGAGGTAGAGCAGGAGGAGGAGGAGGAGGATCCAGCGCAGGAGCAGGAGTTCGAGCCAGAGCATCGGCGTTTCGGCGGAAGCTACTACCAGAGAAGGCGCCACTACAAATACGATGCGGTGGAGGAATGCTGTCGTCCGATTTGCCAGGAACAACACTATGGCTCCATAGCGGATATGTTGTAAGCGGGGAGGGGAGATCGATTAACGATTAACGATAACATATAAAAGGATATTTAGAGGGAGGGAAACACTTTAAAGTGAAACGCAAGGTACCTACAACAAAGTAACTACAAAAGGAAAAGCATGAAAAGAAAAGAAAGGGAAAGAGATAGAAAGATAGACACCCCTCCCCCCCCCTCCGGCAGATTATCGATAGGCAATAACCGATAACCGTTGATAACCAATGACGAATGAATTGTGCATGTTGAATAGATGTATATCAAAGTTTTTTTTTTTTTTTTTAGATGTCCTTGCGAACATTTTAAACTTACCGTTACTAAGCACAGAATTGATAAATATATATATTCAAAATATATGTATTATCTGGCACCGCTATATTATTATAAAACGTATATTATATAGAGTACGTGTATAACCCACACACACACACACACATCCGTATATATAAAAACGATATATATAGATATTTATTCATGTACATACACACACACACACCACATATGTTAAAAGCGAATTTTTTTTATTGCCTCCGTATCTAGGAGTAGAACAAGCGATATCGATAACGATAACGATAACGATATTTTTTTTTGTGGATAATTGTGGCAACTAGATCTAGAAGATTGCACCACAATGTTGTCTACGAACATGAGCGAACATAAGCGAGCATGATCATTAAGCATATATATATATATATAGATAACCCCATATATATTTAACCTAAATCTAAACAAAAATTTTTTTTATTATTTATAAACTAGCAATGCTTGTACATAGAGTAACGATTGTGGATTATAACTATACGAATATTGATAATTAATAAAAGAGAATATTTAATAAAGTGTGTTTTTTTTTGTATTATCTTTAATTAGGTAAACTTAAGCTCTGAGTGTTACACAAATTGTAAATACATTTGGACACATAAACAATTTAATTGACGCACACAGCCGACGAGGGAGTAAACCCAAAATGAAACACAAATGGAAATATTAATAAGCCTAAGAGAGAGAAAAATGCATTTATGGAAGCCCACAAGAAATTCAAATGTGTAATTTATGTGCATGTAGTTGAAATCGATATCGAAATCGAAACAGTTGGCCAGTTGTTCCACTTACTTATTGAAAAATGTGTCTTAAGCAAATATACTTACATCATACCCACGTGTATACCTACGAATAGATGGTCTATGTACACACACACCCCCTACACCCCACACACTCACACATCTATAGAGCAGCATTGTAAGAAATTTCATTGCCATTTCGAAAACTTTTCACCCGCCAAAAAAAAAGAGTCCTTTTGAGCCAGAACTATTGGAAAAATGAGCCAGTAAAATGCCAATTGCAGAGCCCAGAAATTAAATTCCCAGAAAATATCGTTTTATCGATTTTTTATTGATAATTGTGGCAAAAGTCGATATATAAATAGGTAAATAATGTTGGAATAAATAGTTATTCTATTGGGTAAATCAAATTAAAATAATAGAAAGAGATTAACAAAAAATTTAATAACATTTTTTGCATATCGATAATTTAATTTTCGATATTTTTCGATTATTTTTAAATCCCATATCTGTTTTCTTTTCAAAAGTTTTAATTTTTCATTATAAAAATACCCAAATCACCTCAAAATCAAATAACCCAAAAATCGATAGTCACTTGATCGATATTTTCAGCTCTGACTGCCATCTCTGGGCTGTGCCATTGGCCACCTTCTCCATATCCTGTCTCCTGCCTCTTCTGTCAGTAATTAGAAGCAAAACAAACAAGAGAAAGTCGAAAGCACTGTAGGGGAAATTTTAGAGCCAAGTTGTAGCCAATTTGAAGAATCTGATATTGATGAAAGTGTTGCAACTTTTTGGCGCACTTTCCAGCACGCACACACACCAAAACGATAAGCGATAAAACGATAACACGATAAATCGATAAATGAAAAATGGAATAAGAGAAATATGGAAAAACTGAAATTACAATTTTAAAATTCCCCCAAGCTGCACTTTGCGGCATTTTAAATGTCTAAATAAAATATTAAAGGAAGTAACGATGAAATGAACTCTAGATATTGGATAAATCGTAAAATAAAGCAAAGTTTTAGCACACAGCCACCACAAGTATAGATGTATATGTATATCGAATGAATATGCGACTTGCAGATAAATATATATATATATATATATATGTATATATATATAAGATCCGAGTCGAGGGCTTGCGTTCTTCGGTTCTCGATTTGCAGGATTTGCTTTGCTTCTCCCATTGCTTTGCCAGTGAATTTTTTCGGTTCAAACTAATTGGTTTTCCTACATAAAAGCTTCAAATGTGATATTTTATAAACAAAAACAAAAAAAAAAGAAAACTATAAAGAAAAACATAACGAATGAACGCAAGAACTAAACAACCGATAACGATAACGATACCGATACTGATACCAACATCAACAGGCATTTAAGCGAAGAAAATTAGAGTCTACACTGTGTCATTATGATTATTATTAATTATTATGCTAAGTTTAAGCGAAAACTGTAAGTAACGTTATGCCTATTAATTATTACAAAGCCAGAGCGAAAAAGAGAGAGGTACAGAGAGGGAGAGAGCGTTTTAAATCCAAAGTGCAACTCGGTGGAGCGAGGGGATAGTGACAGGAAGCCAGAAGCGAAATGAAAAACGAAAGAATTAAATAAAGATTTAATGCAAAACAAAAAACCCCCAAGAAACGAACCATTTTTTCTTCTTCTTCGGTATGGAAGGCAACTCGAACATGTTGAGCATACGACATGTTGGACGCGATGTTGCGCATACGACATGTTGGCCGCGTTGTTGCGTTGCAGCCGACGGTATGGCCTACCTTCGGGCGGGCAGACAAACGACGCATACTTTCCGGCGGCCCGTGGATCTCATGGGTTAAGACTTGTTGCGCTGCGACACAACCGCAAATGTATCTGTGAGATACTCTTTTGAGTTATATGAAATAATTTTAGTTGAAGAAAAGACATTCATTTTATATTTTTATTTAAAAAAAAATTATAAAAAATTAGCAAAATTATATAAAAATCGTTTAGTATTTAGCTTATAAAAACTAACACAAAAACGCTTTCCCAAGTTAATTTAAGGCTTTTTTGTCTTAGTTTTGGATTTTTAAAGTCTTTGTTTACCCTGAAATTATGAAAAACCGAATTAGACAATTTTTAAAAATTTTATAAATTGTTTTTCAATATTTTTAAACAATAAAAACTGAAATAAAAGTGATTTTCAAATTAAAGTTAATGGATTTTATGCTATGATTTAATTTAAAGCTTTCATATGTCCATTTCAGACTTCTCTTTAAAAATGTAATTATTATTTCATCCTTTTCCAACTTAAAATATTCCCTTTTTATTTTTTTGTGATAACTACAGCATTTATTTTCTTTGAACTATCCTGTGTAGCAACTATTCTTCGTTGTTGAGTAATCCAATTGAACAATCGATGCAGTCAGTTGCAAAATTCGCACAGTTTCTAGAGCCAAATTATTGGCAATTTGTGCATCTGGCGATGGCCACGTCACTTGCCTGCTGCTGCTGCTGCTGCTGCTGCATCTTTTGTTAGTTTAGTTTTGCAATTATTTTGCTTAAAATATTATGATTAAAAATTTGAACGATCCAATGCGCCCGCTCGAGTCTTTTCTGCAGGCTGGAAAAGCGCTGTGGAGCGGAAAATCCGCTTGGCAATTGCCGAGTGCCGAGTGCCGAGTGCCGACTGCCAACCATCCATCCATTCATCCATCCATCCACCCCCAGGAGCCATCCATCCGGGGAGAGGAAGGATGGAAAGCAGTTGGGGAGTCGGCCAAGTCGCATTATGCAACAGCTTGTGCTAGTGCAAGTGCCCGCCGTTATCCCTATTGCGGCTCTGGTTTATTGTTATTATTATTGCCGCTTCTTGTGTGCCACTTTTCAGCATCCTCTGGACTTTCGTCAGCCAAGTGGGCTAAGGATATGGCCAAGGATATGCGCAGCTTCTGGAAAGTACGGTCTCTTGGCCCAAAACCCCTGGGGTATATACATAAGTGCATTAATAATGCAAATATTACAGATCTGCTGGCAGGCTTTATATCTTTTTACTATTCGGAAAGCGTATTTGGATTGGTTTTTTATAATATATAATATATTAAGAAAAACTAACTGGGAATGGCTGTCCGAATTGCCAATTATACAAACAGCTTCCCCGGTGATTCACATGCGAATTGTGGCCCCCAGGTATCCCATCGATTTATGCAAATCGAAACTGATCCGAGCTGCTGGAAAGGAAAAAAACTCCGTGCTCATTTAGGGGGAGGAGCGAACGAGGAGAGGAAGGGTTGCTAACCTGCGGACTGCGAGGAAAGATCATGCGACATGTACAAGTTCAGGCTGAGGAAGGAGAGGCGAGCAGGGCGAAATAAAGTAAACAAACCGCAAAGTATACAACGGCGGCTGCGGCTGCGGCTCAAGAAATACTAACCATATAAAATTAATGTTTAAAAAATTATTTAACCTTTGAAAATTAGTTTTTTGCTCATTTTTGTTTAAAAAATTATTTAAAAATTACAGGTAAGTATTTCAGTAAAACTGAGTAAGCAGTTTTGTTAAGCGTAGAAGAATGAACTCAGAACAGCTTTCCGAATTGCCAAAAAAGCAACAA